CACATCTGAGAATTTAGTGTGAAATATTTCTAATGATAATGATAAGCAAACCTTTCATCTTTATACAAAAACAGATGCTTAAAATACTCAATAGTACTTATATTCCTATGATATTCTACTTAAAGATCTATGCTTTTAGTTAGGATATAAAGTTGAAAATACTCATACAATATACCCAAGTGTTTAGAATTCATTAACTGTATTATTATATATATGTGGTTATTTTATAGGATGATTTTCATTTTGCATATGATCAAAGATATTTTAAATGGTAATATTCTCATAATGAAGTGAAGGAAAAAATGAAACAAAAGTATAGGTAACTATATCCTTATACCCTCACTTTTTTTCTTACTCTCTTGATCTAAATCTTTAGAATTTATTTGAGTATTTCAAAAATGATCATCAATAGATCCATTTAAGAATAATAAATAGAATACATCATTATTAATAGTAATATTGGTTTAATAACTATTGTTTTCTTTTAGCCAATATAATATATGAGCAACTTTGGCTCGACGAACTTTAAAATCTCTAAATACTGAATTGTTAGATTGACAATATATAATAAGTATATCTATTGATGATGGATCTTAAGGAAAGTGTGTAGCAAATTCTTAAATATCTTAGAGAAAGTTAATTATGCTTCTTTAATATCCAAGTTATTCTTTATAGAGTTTGTAAACTGACATTACAGGAAAGATCTATACAATTAATAATTCTTCAATTTCAGTAAATCCTTGTAGTTCTTGAGATACGTCATCCAGATTCATATTATTTCTTATGGAGAATCTTTTTGGATCCTTATTCTCATTATGATAATGACAACATTCTTCTTGTACAAGTATTATAGATAGAAAACTTTTATTACATATGAAACAAAGAGAATGTTTGAAGTTATCAACTTTATTATAAAATTTTTGCAAAAGTCCTTTTTCAGATTTACTGAGCTTAGATGGATTTTTATTACTCTGCAGTTCTATAGATTTAGGTTGACTCTTCTGGGCTCATTCTGATCTGTCTTCCTGCTGTGATGCTTGTAATACTAGGTCTTCTTTCTGTGATTACTGCAATTCATCTTGACTTCTTAATTTATGGCAGTATTCTTGACTTTTTTTTCTTATAAGTCAGCTAATCTTCAGCATTTTCTTTTATGTTTATATTCACAATATGCATCTCTTTCTTCAATAGTTTCATCTGCTTTTTTTGTTATCTTTTTTCATGTTGGTTGGCAAGGCATACCTCACAATGCTCACGTGTCTCATTTTCCCTGGATTTCTGCTTTCAAATAGTGCTTGGATTAACAAAATTGTCATTTATTTTATATCGAATAATAGGATATGTAAACGAATTTGTAAAGAGAAAAGTTCGAAATTCACTTTATTGTGGCTTGAATGTGGCTTTATGCATGATTAGCAATTTTAAAATGTACGAATGTGGCACACAAAAATTATAATAGCAATTTGCAAATTTTGATTCCAAGTTGTGTTACATAAATTATTGTTAACCGTTGGTATATTAAACAGTGTTACAAAAATAATAAAAAAGTATATCACAATCACCACAATAACACTGATAAAGCTAATTGATATCGCTCCGGACTCACAACGGTTTCCGTTTCCTAGTTTAATATATATATATATATATACTATTCGAGTATTCATATATTTGATAATTGATTCAATCCATTTACCTTAAATTTGACCAGAATTAGAAAATATTTTTTGTGGTCAAGAATTAGATGATTTAAATGGGAAGAAAATTCTGTTAGTTTGTTTTTAAATGATTATATTTAATAGAAAACTTAGCAAATTAATTGATTTTTTTATCTTAAATAAAGAAAAAAAAGTATTGATAGTTTCATATTTAGAAATATTACTCTTTTTATAAAATCTAAAATCAATAATTTTTTTTAATCCGTTTTTTTGCCTTTTAGTACAATAATATATTGGCAAAAATAAAAGAGCACGAAGCACCCGTTACATTTAATATTCTCGATAGTTTTTTGTTGTTGGATGATGGTAGATGAGGAGGAATCAATTGTGAAAATTAGTCAGATAAGGCCAATTCGTTTTGTGGTAGATGAAATACATTGTATAATTGAACAAGAATATTTTTGGTAAGTAATAAAATAATTTTAGTATCTTTAAAAATCAATCATTGTGGCACTTCAACTGTTAATAAAAGAACTATAAGAACTACTAGCGTAAAAAAAAAATATTAATATAAGTATGAATGGCTTACAGTACAAAATTACCAGCGGTTTGTATTTTCAAGGTTAACAAAATACAAGAACCAAGGTTCTTATACTTTCGTGAACATTTTGTCAATTCAGTAAAAAATAGATTTAATGAAGATCAAACGAATATCGCAGTCATTTTGAAGTAAATCACAATCTTTAGATGTAACTATTAATAAAGTTTTAAAGCACGCGTTGTCTGTATTACAATGAAAGGATGAATTCCGCGGAAGGGTTGAACGGCCTTCTTATGTTTCTAATACAAAGATCATGCAGTTTGGGATGACATACAAATCTGGATTTAAAATTATACGTAAAAAAAAAAAAAAAAAAAAATGATCATATCACTAAAGTGATCGATTATTTCATGTATTATAAAAAAAATTTCTCAATATTTTGGGACGAATGCTGAGAAAAGAACAAAAGTTTTAAAACTCTATTATCAAATATCCATCGTACAAGAATTTATTTTTTCAAATTGATCCCTTTTAATTGGCACTCACAATTGTTCTCAAAAAACTAACTAAATTCAATAATTCGTCCTTTTGTTTATACACCTGTCTTTGATGTCTTTGATGGATAAACAGAAAATCAAATCAAAACATTTGAATTTTCATAATTGTCATGTAAAAGCCAATCGATCCAAAAATTCTTTGTTGAATGTATGTTATTCACCCCTGAGCATTCAGTTAATTTTCAGTTACATTGTAATGATAAAAGATATTATTCTTAAAAATCTTTTTAGATTTTTTTGATAAAAATCTTTATTTATTTACAAATATTTATCCATTATCAATGCTAGATAATCAAAACTTGTATTGTATTTTGCGCAGCCATACCCCATATTAAGTTAATATATAATTGATTGAATTGATTGGTCGAAACATTTGTAACAGGGGCCCGTTATTGTATTTTTCCATTTCATTTAATAAATTATCAAAATGAATAATTTCTCGAAACACTGCATACAGCCTATTAAATAATATATATTAATTTAAGACAAAGCATATGCAATAACATAATGGATTTATTTATTTTTACAGTTTCTTTCAACTTTAAAATTTAATTAACTTCAAAACTTTACCAGGGATTCCAGTTGCATTAGTTATTTGCTTAGAATTCTGCAAAGCATTAAAGTTTAGATGAAACATAAAAAAAAAAGTACCATTGTAGAATCAGTATTTTGGAAGCGGATTATGCATAAATAAAAACATTTAAATAAATAAAAAAAGAAAAAAGAAACAGTAATTTACGAAAATAATCATTAGAATAAGAATAGAAAGCTTGAAAATAGTAAATTTACTTAATAAAGTCAAAAAGGACGTCTCACGAAAATTATACCAATCCGCGTCTTTTATCTTCAAACCTTAAATAAAAAAAAAGGAATTTAGTTTTATGGAGAATTTTTATCCGGAAGCAAAACAAATCTGTACGTCAATGAGTGAATATCATTTTCAGCGTCAGGGACTGCGGTCTAGTCAGGTCTCAAATACACGTGCATTCACATATTTCTTAACGAATCTCGAAAATTCTTAAACAAAATGATAATGGTCATAATTAATTTTCATTGTTCTTTATTAGCTACACGTTAACTCCTTTTCTCATCCGTCGGATGTACCACAATTTAAAACATTAAGTCATTATTTGCCAAGCTTTATTATATAATATAACTGTGTTACAGCTTAAAAAAAAATTACGGTTTCATGATCGTGTCACAAGTGAAGGGTTCAAAACGCGACTTCTACAAATTAATAAATATGCTACATACAATACATATATTGATATGTTGCGCAAGCAGTTTGTGTAATTAATCATCAAAAGAAATTATGCATTAAAAAAAAACTTTGATCCACTGAACAATGAATAAAATGAATAATTGAAAGGAGAAACTTTCACGACTTTTAAAATTATAATATTGGAGGAATTACACACCTAAAATGTGAAAGATGTGAAATATTAATAATAAATTTCGATGATTATTTTTATATAATATTATTATTTTGTATAATTTTTCTAATTAGTAATTCACCAATCAAATACATGACCATATGACATAAACAAGTTATATAATACCAATAACATTTCGCAATTGTTTCTTAGGTGCACGCGATACATGGTGAATTGCAGCAGAATGATGCAAAGTTAATCCTCGGAATAGATGAATCTTTATTCCGTCAATACGAGGCATCATCCAGCCCCTGTTTAATGAATCTCGCTCTGTGTCAATGATTGTTACTAGGTAATAAGGTTTTGATTTTCGACCGACGAGTCATCTACTAATTTAAATCATATGGTTATAATGAGGAAAAGTTTCTATTATGACTAATGGTATCATTAAATGCTATGCAATGTTAGAAAAAAATTTCATCCCAAGTTTCATTTTAAACTAATAAACTCATATTTAGTTATATGATGCGGAGCCAATTGGGACTAATACAGCTTAGTTCGGATGATGAATTACTGATGGTGTAACCGCTAAATGACGTCATCAATTATAGGATTAAGTGTAATGCAAAGTTAACGTTAATCACTGTTACAACCAAAGTCGGAAACCAATAAACGGTTCTATATAATCCTTTCTTTGTCTTATTAATACCTGTTCTCAAACATGATTTTATGATTCGGAATGTTTTCACGAGTAAAGCTTATGATTTTTGTTTCCGAAATTCTGATCCTTTTAATCAATGAATCTGAATTTGATCGATCAAAAAAATTTGATCTCACCTGACAACATCGGAGTTCTAGTACATGTTGAGTTAGTCTAAGGCTGACTGCAAATCTTGGTCGACCAGAATAATCTAGCTTGTAATTTAATAACTTTCTTTGGAATCCTTATAAATGCAACCAATAGATTCACAGCTTCCCGTTCTACCTGAACTAAATTAAGTAAATTCGCTCACTTCAGAAGGCAGTCACGAGATCGATTAACCAAACCTGATGACATAATCAACGCTTTGATAATAATTTCCGACATGATTTTTAACTCGTGCAATTTTATTTACTCGAAAGTTTCCTTTCCGGGAATTTAAGATCTGAATGTTTTCGTAAACAAATGTTGGAAGTTTTTTACTAATACCAGCAAAGAACCAATTAAATCCGAAAAATTATTCCTTTACACATGAAAAACCAATTTATTTTTATCTCTCATCAAGATTTCATCATTGTCGTGTGTTTTTCAACTTTAAAGAAAAAATAAACTCGTGCTTTGCATTAACTTCTTTCTCATGCCTAATATCCGAATCGATTTCGATGTTTTAAATAACAATATATTTGCGCATATCTAAATCATTTTGTGATTGGTTTTATGTTTTAACGTTTTGTTGGGGTTGATCAATGATTGGTTTGCCCGAGTTACACCGAATCAAAATATTTGATGAACTTGGAGGTTAATTTCGAACCTTGGAACTTTTCTTTTTTACCATATCCGGTTAATGCCAACTGAATCTTTATTAAAAAAAAAAAGTTAATTTTAGTATGGCTTAATATAGATTATATGAAACATTACTACGATAAGAAGAGAAATTTATTTATTATTTTTTTTTTTTTTTTTTTTTTTAAAAAAAAAAAAATTTCTTGATTCCGTTCCCACCTAATAATTTTTTCTCAAAGTGAACAAACCTCTGGTAAAACTTTTTCTTTTAAAAATCAATTATTTTGAAAAGGTAAATTTCACGAGCACGGATTTTAAATTCATCTTGAAACGTGAACTAAACTTTAAAAATTACAAACAAAAATAATAAACAAATTTACGGATTTTATCATTTTGGTAAATGGATCCAATAATATAAGGAAATAAATATTTGTTGTATAAGGTAAAGCATTAAGGTAAAGCATTGGAAAGATAACGAAATTGAGGATAAAAAAGGACATGATCCTTGAGCAAGGGGCATGACACGGAACAAGCCTTTACTTAATAAGACAAAAAATCATCTCGTTTAATCTTCAATGCAAAGTTGCCTTTTTAGGGGATAATATTGTTTGTTGCTTTTGACGGGTTAATCAAGATTGACAAAGGTTTAAATCTGTTTGTGGTTGGGTTTTTTTTCGTGAATTATGTCGATAGAACACATGCCATAAATTTTGATTTATATAGTATCACGTTTACTTTATTCAAATTAATTAAAATTTACATAATATATATATGTGTTGAAAATGATTATAATAAATATAATAAATATGTAAGGCAATGCACTTTAAAAAAATTTTTTTTTCTTTTACTATCAAATTTCCTGAAATGTACAAGTTTATAAACTAGGTAAATCAATAATATAACCTAGAGTCTAAGAGGCTTAATCGAAACAATGATAAAAGAAATTTTACCATGAAAAATTACGCTTAATACCCAAATCCCGCATGTACATTTATTACATTTATTTATTTGACATGTCAGATTTATCAGAAACGGGAAAGAAGTTGCAATAAAAGGCAAAAAATGTCAGGATGAAGTAAATCTTTTTAACTTTCATGTAGATGATCACTACTCATAAAGTAAAATTAAATGTTGGAGTATTTATTTTTAGGCGCGTTTTTTTTTAACCTAAATTTTAAGCATAGTTTATTGATGTATCAATCTCAAAATAATTTTTTTTTCTCACACATCTTTCTTTCTACTTGTTATCCACTTTTTACCTGAATCGAGCTAAACTAAAAATATTCTCACCCAAACAAACTTACAGTTAACTTAAAGCCACATGTTTTTCATGTCTTTACATCTAAATCTTAATCTAAAAATTAAAAATAACATAATACATTAAACATATATTGGTTAATCTTTTTCATCTTACTGATCATTTTAAGTTGCATGATGAGAATAATTTATCATTTTAAAACTTATATTCAAGAAATTTTGGCGCGTAAAAAAAAAAAAAAAATGTTTATTATGCAAATTTTAATGTTTATTTATCTTATTTCATAGTAATTAAACACTTATTAACATTTATACATTATAATCTAATTCGATTTCCTAATTAAGTATATGTCAGTAATTTGAACCGAATTTCTGATCACCATACTGTACTTTTTCTTTTTTGTAAAAAAAAAATATATATATAATAATAATAAACATAATGATCGGAAAATTTCATTAATGCTATCATGCCGATTTAGTTAATAACAAAATGCTCGGAAATTTAAACCAACGATTCGATTATGACGTTATGTTAACCTGTTTTTTTTTATCATCGATGTTGCTTACGGATTCATTCAAATATGAGCATAAGGTTAGAAAATATTTTATATTCTATGTGATTACCGGGAAACCAATATCCTTCTGCAATTTCAAAAGACGTTATCATGCAAACAGGCTATCTTCATAAGAAGACATCATGTAAACTACTGTCTTTCACATATAAAAAAAATTGCAATCCTTTAGAGTTTAAGAATGTAACTGGTCTAAATTCGTTGTGCAAATATGGATTAGTGAATAATAAATTTATCCTTGTGTAATTCTTCTATCAGGGGATCTAGAGGCTTACTCGTCATTTTTTTTTTCATTTTCTTTTTTACGTTTGTTGAAAAAATAATTCAGTCATTTTTCCTTTTTAAAAATTTATTTTTATAATTTCACCTGTTATATTTATTTCAATAAATACATTTAATAATACTTACGATTATCTAATTTGCACATGAATTTTTTTTCTCTTTTTTTTTTTTTTATTTATTTTTAGTCAATGTGTAGAACCATTAAATGAAAAAAATTTTTATTTATATTATATTCGACAAAATATATGAACAAAAAGTTAATAAATTACATGTGTACTTTACTTTTTTAAAAAAAACGTTTACAACCATTTTTTTTTTTAAAAAAAAAAAAACAAACAAATAAATAATGAATACTCTAAAAATCAAGTACCAAATATAAAAAACTAATTACGGATGTGAATAAATTAAGAAGGAGTTGTTGACTTTCTAATCAAATGTTTTATAAAAAAAAAATTATTAAAAATTAATTTGTCACAAATAAATTACAATGCCAATGGAGTACCCTTGTGAAACATGCTTCTATAAAACAAACACATCAAGTAAACTTCAGGGGGGTATATATTATATTCAAAAGAATATAAAATCCCCCTTTCCCATCTTCTTCACAACTTTCAAGTGCGTTTTATTCTTCCTTGTTTTGATTTAAAAAAATATATATTTTTTTTATTCTCAACGCTCCATAAATAAATAAATATATAAATATACGCATTTTCTTTTTCTTTCTTATAAAAAAACGAAATATTTTGTTTGTAAGAAAGCTTTAAACTCATTTATCAAATCATTTTCCTTCTTTGAATCATCACACAATGTTATTCAACGAACTTCTATTATCACTGAACAAAGCGGTAGAATCATATATTCCAAACCATTCAAGTAACAACGACAATGAAAGTATTCTAAATGAAAAAAAATCAATCCATAGCGATAATGGAATGTTTGAAAGACTTAAGCGCAGCGGCAGCAGTCGTAGCCTTTTCAAACTCTCCCTTTCAATGAAGAAAAGCTGGAATTCTTCAAACCCAAGCATCACCACTGTCTCTCCTCCAAGTCCAACGCAGGCTGCGCCACTTTGGAAAGAACAAGTCGATTCTAACATTAAAGCTGAACTTCCGGCATCGGAAATCCATCGACAAGAAATTATCTACGAAATCATTCGAACGGAAAAAGCCTTTGTTGAAGATGTAAGGTATCTTATTGAGGTAAATAAAAGAATTGGATTGATGCATTGATTTGATATCCCTGCTTGCATATGTATTCAAATATATATATTAATAAACCTCCCTCCGGTTTTTTTATTTTCCTTTTTGAATAATCAAAAATAGCATTATGTTACATCAATCCAAGATTCTGGAATTCGATTACCATCTAGTTTAATTGAAACATTTAGGATTTTGCCAGATATCTTACTCTTACATTTAAATGTATCATTGGTAAATATTTTTATTATTACTGAATAATTATGAAACCGTCGAATAAAAAACGACGACAGAAGAAATAAATAATTTCTAATTCTAGGTCATTTGTTTCACAATCGAATGATCTTTTTTTTTCAATAGCAACTTCTTTGCATACAAGCAATCATGTATCCCGTCGTACCATCAATAGCGCACATTCTTCGAGACCTAGCAACTCAATTCCAGATGTACGAATCATATCTTATTCATCACAAGATGGCAATATCCGAGATAGCCAATGCACGCAAGAAGAATAATAAGCTTGGACAATTATTGAAAGCCTTAGAGGCTGATATCCCACAGGGTAGATTTTTGTCCTTGGAAAGTTTGCTCACAAAGCCTTTCCAAAGATTATGCAAATACCCTCTCTTGGTCATGGTAAGTCTCTGAAAATTTTCCATTTTTAGAATAGCATGCGCTACGCCATTTTCGTGTAATATAAGAAAAATTAAAATTGTTTTTCCGAAAAAATTTTTTTTAGACATTGTTAAGAGCCACTGCGCCTTCTCACAAGGACCATGCATTACTCACGGATCTACATAATCAAATTGATTGTGCTCTTAGAGAACTTCAAGAACGCAAGGCAGAACACGAACGTTTATCGGAAGAGGATGATTTCCCACGCAAATTCGGGGTAAGTTATATATATTCATGAAGAAAAGATATTTTGTTTTTAATATTATTGTAACGACGTTCTCATTCCATTTCCCTTTATTTAGTCATTTGGACGTTTCAACAAGTTTTCTTCAAATGGTCGCTTTAAACGTTCATACACCCTATCTTTATTACGATAATTTATTCCGCATATTACTTTTCTCTTATTGTCTTTGTAATAGGGGTAATTAGGCTGATATTGGAATTTGATGGTATTATAGGGTTAATTGCGGCGGATAAAAGTTTTCGTGTTTATTTTAAATTACTGGATTTGTTATCTGTAAATGGAAATGTCTGACCGACTTTTCTATGGGTTAAAAATTTAGTAAAAAAAAAAAATTAAAGTGTATGTATACTTGTAAACATATGACGCTTTATTATTATATTCCCCTTTTTTCTATCTCCTTTGTATTATAAACTCGTTTCTTTTAATTTTTTTGAGTCGAACTCAATAAGTTAAATTTCCTTGTATTAAAAACACCCAAAACACCCTTTACTTTATAGAAATTTATATTTTATAATTCCTTTAATATTCTATTTTCTTTTTTTTTGATTCTTTTTTACATTCAAATTATTTTTTTTTTTCTCTTCAAAAAAAAAATGATTTGATTTTAAAAAAGAAGTTTTTAATTTTCATTTTATACACTACACTTCTTTTGTGTATATGCATGCATATTATAACGTTTACGTTATTTCCCTTCCAAGAAAACTTACAATTTTCTTGCGACAAAAAAAAAAGTTTTAGGTTCAGAACGACCACACTCATTTTTTCTCTTGAAAATTTCATTCGTAACCTTTTATTTGTAAAAAATCATTTTTTTTCTTTATTTGTTATTTTGTACATTCTTTTTTTTTTCTTTCTTTTTTTTTATTAATATGATATAAAAAAACTGATTTAAACGAACGAAATCTTTCAAATGAATTAAGTCATATACAATCTAAGATTTATGAAATTACTTTATATGTACAAAAAAAAAAACAAAAATAACAATTCCATTAAGATAAAGGTGTTTGACACATTCTTTAAATTATTTATGTATAATATCAACAGCTTATTTAGAATTTAGAAATATTAACACATCCTTTGTTAGAATTAGACAATTTTTTTTTCGATAAAAATGATACCTGAATTGTTTGTTGTCTCGCTTAATTAGGTATCTTTTTTTAATAGTAAACCGACCTTTATTACATTCATTTATTTCAAAAAAAAAAAAGAAAAAAGAAACATAGAATAACTTTTTCATTCTTTTGTATATATCTGATTTTTTTTTTACACAACAAATAAATTATTTACATATATGCATGTATAATGCAAAAATATAAACAAATCCATGCCATGATAAAAAAAAAAATATTTCCATTCAATGATATTTATCCAGAAGTTTTTTTGCCTTATAAATCTTTAATGTTTTTATTTTCCAGGTATTTGTTTATGAGCGACATGAATAAACATATTGAAAATTCTTTCTATAACGATATTTTTTTTTTTAATTCCTATAGGATCAAAAAACTTGGGGTACAGATGATAAATGCGGTAAATTGAATTAAATAATTTGCCAAACTAGTCTAGGTTCGCAGATACCAAGACATTTTTTTCGATGCCCCTCATCTCTCACTAGTTAAGACCAGATGAGAATCATGTTGAAACTTTATCAAATGAAATAACATGTTACGCAAAAAATAAAATATATTTGAAATTTCATTTGAATCAAGATCATTATCATTTCTAATTTTCCAAAATGGATTACCAAAAGAAAGGTAAAGTAACTGAATCCAATAATAACAATCTATTTGTAACGTAACTTGACAAAATAATCCATTCATTTGGATGAAAAGTGTATCTTCATGTATCATAAGCGAGGTGCATTGAAGATGCATCTACAGGAGGAATAAGAATTACGTTTTGAGTTTATTGAATGCGATTTTGATAAACATTCATCTTTTTTTTTTTATGAAGAATACGGTAAATGATAGAATGAGGCACCATACAAATGATTCTTTCATTGTTTGAAGATCCATTATGTAAGGTACGCACCGATTTCGTGACGTTAAAATTACGTTATTACATCATTATCGTAACTAAGCTATTATTCATTACCAAATCCGTTTTGATACGCCTAAAATACAGATGGATCTTCAACAGTTCTTTGGTTACACGATTTAATGTTTCAACTATTTTGTTTCATCTTTAACCCCTATCAATACCAAAGAAAAAAAAACCTTGTGCATTATTTATCATTATTTTATCGATTTAAGAAAAAAACCTGATTCTTCCTACTGCAAATCCAAATCCATTTAAAATTAAATGATCCTCGTTAAAATTCCCTCAATTAGAAATCAAGCTTAATGTCATTGTAACAAATTATATAAAAAAAAAAAGATCTAGTTCGATCATCTTGTATTATAATATTATAATTAAATAAAAACTAATTTTACATTGATATTCAGCCAAACGAGTTAGAATAAAAACCACACGCGGTAATAGGGTTATTATTATTACAAGTATAAATTTAGTATTCTTTTTTTAAAAGAATGATTATGCGCTATGAATTTTTTACTAATCGAATAAGCAATTTTCTATGGATTATGGTTTAACCTTTTTTGTCGTATCAAAGAATCAAAATAATTTTTTATAAAAAAAGAATATGCACTTAATTAACGATTTGCATGAAATAGAAATCTCAAATAATATTAAACTTTCAACATTTATATAGATTTAAGTTTTTTTTTTTTGCATTATGATATAACTATTGTTTGATTTTTTTAACTTATCATTGATTAAAAAATCTACGGAATAAAATACGGGCCGTAATTTGATCCCCCCTTGTTTTTTTTTTCATTTACGCGGAGACTCAAGATAAATGTAAGGGAAAAAAACAATAAACCATTTTTGTTTTATCAAAACTTTCAGATGCATCGCTTTGCATTACTTCTTTCTTTATTACCTTTTTAAACGATCTTAATTATAATTCTACATGACTTGACTTAGTTCTTAGTTTTTAGGTAATTAGGTGAGATTTTAGGTTAGCAAATACTGGAATTTTTGCAGTTTTACATAATACGAACTTAGACATCATAAAGTCGACCGGATTTACACGATCTTATCGAAATTTAGCGCGTAATTTCCACTTCAACTGATCGGAATCTACGAGATTTGTTTGTGGTATCATCATTCATGTTGAATATTCTGCATCACGATCTTCCCTCTAACAAATAAAAAACTTACATTTTATTTGGCGGAAATTCCGACCGTTAGCATACGCCTTTATACATAAATCATAGATCAATTAATTTTTCGCGTGATCATCTATTTTTCTAGCCAATCGAGTCACCCGGTAGATTCACATGCGATTTTTTTTTGTTTGGAAAGCGCAAATGGTCAAAATCAAGAAAACACAATGAGATTATATATGGGCGTTTGTCAACAGAATGGATGGATGTGGAATTCTGGAATCATAATATTTTCATTAATTGCATCCCTTGTTTCGATTAATTTCTAGATACAAATATTATTTTATTTCACTGGGGATCTACTTATAACAAAAAAAAAAATAAAAAAAAAATGAGCGACTAGTGACTTTTAGGTTAGAGGATTATTTTTTTTGATGCGGTCAAAGGTTATAATATCGGTATCGAAATTAATAAATCTTGCGTCATGTCGTAGAAGTGTAACCGGTCTTCTTTGTTACTTCCTTTCAACCAATTAGGAAAATACATGATTCGGGATTAATGTTTTAATCCATTTGGTATCTTGATAATAAATATCTCAATTAAAAATGGTTGAGTATGGTACGTTCATTGATTCATGTAATGCTTATTGCTTCTCTTTAAACACTAAACGTGAATGATGTGCATCCGTTAAATCTTAAATTACCGTTACATGTTGGGGGTTTTAATGTTGAATTTCATTCTTTGACTTTTATTAATAAATTTTTTTTATATATATATTTATTTATTTTTAAATCAAACAAACAAATGTAAGTGTTCCTACATTTTCAATGAATGAATGAATCTAAATAAATTCTTATTTTGATGGCGTGAATATTGACACGCCCACTTTGTGAATATCTACAAATATTTATTAATTCGAAGGATTCGGTAAAAACTTAATAAGTAAACGGGGCTTGCATATCTCTCTCGATTAAGATGCTGTCAAAATTCAAAAAAAAAAAAAAAAAAACTAGAAACCTCCAATAATCTATTTTTTTTTTATTTTTAAAAAAAAATATTAACTGGAAATAAATAACAATACAAATAATGATTGTGTGATGTGACACAATTTTTTTTTAAAGTCAAATCTGGAATTTCGCTTTATTCGTAGTAACAATAAAATAAATAAATTTTTTTTTTGATCCATTAAGAATACAACAAATAATGAAGTACACATTTTTTCTTTGTAACATGAAATTTACTTTGAAAGGAAAGGTTTATGTCAAGTTTGAAACTCAATGGGGAAAAATAAAAATTCTTTTATTCTATTTCTTTGAAAATGTAACGTGACTAACTTATTTTAGATGATCATCTATATCTATATCAAATAAAAATTTTCGTGTAAACTGAACAATTAACCTTGGTTACTCTACATGGACTCTTAAACAAAGAAACGAAAGTCTGTGTTAGGGGTTATCTTTATATCTCTGATTTTCGAAATAATCAAATCAGAACGTTTAGAATTTTTAAGGTTCTTTCTTGTTCAATATAGGTAAATCCAAAAGTTATCGTATTTTGAGCGCGCTATCTCTTGAATCTGTTTTAAGCAACCGAACAATACATTAGTCGAACAATCAAAACTTTATCAATGCTGAGTCACGTGATAATTTTATTTTCGGATTTTTGTCATAATTCCGGCCGACATTAGCCAACTATTTTTTTAAAAAATTGTTCTTGTAAAGTTCAATATTAATATACAATTTAATATATATTTGAATAAAAAGTTTTTAAATTCTATGATTCGCAATAAAATAGAAATCGTAAAGCTCAACATTATATTAATTCGTAACCAAACCAATTAATTACTAATTTAATCAAACAAATCATCATCATCATCTCTCTCATTGATAGATTGTGTTCGTTGAATTGATTGCGAATTGAGTTTCGCGCTTCTTTGTGATAATATAGAAAATGCGGTATCGGTCATTTTTCTTTTTGGTGTAGGTGAATCAAATAAACTATCAACTCTTCTTTTCATTGCTGCACTCGTTCCCTGGTTAACAATTGATTCAAGACGGCCGCTATCATAATCTGCTTCTGGCGTAACAGCTTTTGGATCATCACCAAACTCTTCATCAAGCTCCATTTTTTCAATAGCGGTGCGATTTCCAAGTCCCCGATTTCTGCTACCATCGAGACCTCGCGCTCGAGTAGTGCTTCTATATGTTGATATGTCTCTTGACAATTCGTTGTCATCATCCTCAAATTCTTGTTCTTCTTCAATTGCTGCGGGTGCTCGTCCACGTCCGCGTCTATGCCCACGAGTTCGAGTATTGCTGTATGATGAAAGGTCTCTTGAAAATTCGTTGTCATCATCAACAAATTCTTGTTCTTCTTCAATTGCTGCGGCTGCTCGTCCACGTCCGCGTCCACGCACACGAGTTCGAGTATTGCTGTATGATGAAACGTCTCTTGAAAATTCGTTGTCATCATCAACAAATTCTTGTTCTTCTTCAATTGCTGCGGCTGCTCGTCCACGTCCGC